TTTTCCACGTAAAAATCTTGGTGTCATTATTACTCTTTTATTATTGTTAATTACCGTATCTCGATGCTACATTATTATTCCGTTTTATTACCGTGAATATTATTTTGGTAAGGGGCTTATTCCCAACACAGTCAAGTTACAAAATTCTCATCTATTTGCCATATTGTGTTGTACTTGCTTGTCGAAGTCCCATACCAATCTGACATGGACACAAGCACTTTGAAAAACATATGACATGGAGAAGGATACTTTGTTGAAAAACATATGAACATGGAGAAGGATACTTTGTACAATCTACATCTTTACTTCGAACAAATTAAATGGTACTTATTGTTTTGCACTATTAGAAATCCGGTAAATACCGACCAAAAAATTCGACTAATTTTGGTTGGTTATGGCCAATTATCGACCAAAATACGACCAAATACGCTTGGACGGTATTTTGATGGTAGTTTTAATATACCGACCAAAGTTGGTCGGAAATTACCGACCAATGTTGGTCGGTCAATTGAATTAAAAAAAATTGCAAAAAAAAAAAACGACCAAAGTTGGTCGGTTTTTTTAATTATGTAATTAAAAGATTCACCATATGGAAATCGAACCGAGGTGTGTACTGTGACAGGATACTATTCTATCACTAGACCATTGGTGCATTTTGTTTTAAGATTGTCTTATTTTTTATTTATACTCTTTAATTGTATTTTCGCATGAAAATAACCGACCAAAGTTGGCCGGTTTTTTTAATATTAATTTTTATTTATTTTAATTGCAAAAACCGACCAAAGTTGGTCGGTTTCTTGAAAAATAAATTGTGCGGGACTCAAAAATAGTTTCCCACATTTTTGCGCCAAAGAAAACCGACGATTTTGTAAAAAAAAAAAATTAAAAAAATTTGAAAAACCGACCAACTTTGGTCGGTTTTTGGCCGGTTTTTTGACCGACCAAAGTTGGTCGGTTTTTCTTGATTGGTTTTTGCCGAACTTCTAGTAGTGTTGGAATATCAATATTCTAGAGGTAATTTATTAATTTCCTTTGTTAGATATAAAAGAAGCATCAAACTCGTGAAGGAACGAAGTGCACAGTTGCCGATGTAGCATTCAAGCTTTGGCGAAGTGAGTAATTTACTTCAGCAACTTTGTGTTTTAAATCTGGTTAAGATTTTTTTCCTATAATTTCATCAAGTGAGTTCCTTGGGAAATTTTAAAAGAAGGAACTGTAAGTTGTAATGCTCTCAATGGGGAATAAAATATGTCAGCTTGACTTCTTGTTTCAGTGTATTATTTATCCGTCCTGACATGATGATATTTTTAATAATAGGCTTTATCATTTGTTGTTGCACCCAAAAACATAAGTCTTTCTAGAGGTAAATTAATTTCTTTAACTTCATTAATTTTCTCTTAAAGATTAACTTAATGTATCCGTCTAATAGAGAATTCATGAAGTACACCCGCATGTATAGTGTTGGGGAAAATGCATAATTACCCTCATATCCTATACCCAAAGTTCCAACTACACACTTTTTTTCACGGGAATCCTAGTATCCCTAAACTATTTTTTACCTTAATATCTTGGACCTTTTGTGCTGAACTAAACTGGAACTCAGTTAAAATACATGCGCTGTAGACACGCGCATCATAAACCGATGGCCCCCCATTCCATTCCCTTTTTTTATCTCTTCATTAAAACATAGCACAAGACAAGAGACTATCTGAGACCTAAAATTTTCTCCCATTCTTCATTGCACTCTTCGATCCTTTAACCAAATCATCAAGACATAAAAAAATTTCTTTGTTCTCTTGCAATTGGATACTAATAGATCGAAAATAAGTATAAAGCCTCATTTTAATGGTTCGATTCAAGGAAGGATCGGTCAAATTCGAAGGTTAAACAAGAATAACGTTCTAGGGTTTTTCGTGTATCGATTGAAGGTCAGATTGGAACGCTAAGCTTTTTATTCGTCACAATCCAAGAGCAAATGTTAGTTTTTTACTGCACTTAATTACTTTTTTGTTATTTTAGAATTTTTAAATACTTTTAGCCATTGCGATTTTGTGATTGGCTGATTAAATTTGAGGTTTCTTGTTTGCTTGTTAACCTTAGAGATTTGATTGTGTATGGATTCAATGAAAACTTTTAGTTTTTAGCAAATAAGTTCTTTTCTAATACTAGTATCTATAGTTAGTCGAATTCTGCTGAATTTTGTTTTATCGATTTTTTTGTTGCTTTGTTTGCATATAGGTATGAGTGAGTTTGCTTTAATCACTTTAAGACTATACCATGGTGCGGTCTTAGAGTTTGGAAATGGGGAACCAAAATATGTTGGTGGGGTAATGAGTGAATATTTGAATGTTGATTATATTAATTTTGAGTTGAAGGATTATATTAAAGAATTAGGGTACAACTCAAGTTGTAAATTTAATATTCGGCCACCTAACTAGGGCATTTTAGGAGATATTGAAAATGACAGGGCTCTTTTAGCAATTGGTAAGTCTTTACAATATGGGGCTGTTTTGGAAGTATATGTGCACATGCTTGAGGAGGAATCTTGTTCAGCTTTTAATAAAGAGGTTGCTTTTAATGGTCCTGCTCCTCCTCCAAACACTGTTGCTTCTTCAAACACTGTTGTTGCTCCTTTAATCAATGTTGTTGCTACTCCAAACACTGCTGCTCCTCCACACACTGCTCCTTCAAGTACAGCTGCTCCTGCAGATCCAATTGCTGATCCAGCATACACAACAGCTGCTCTTTCAGATCCAGAATCTTCTCCAACTGAAGATTACTCAAGTGAAGATGGATCTGATGAATCAACTGAAGATAGTGTTGATTCTAATGAAAATGACTTCTTTGGGGGGGATGATTATGGCAGTGATGTACATGAGGAGTACATAGAGATTATGAAGGAAAGTAGGTCATTTCAAAGGAGAAAAGGAAAGGAGAAAGTTGTTGTTGATACTAAATATGTACCATGTGGTGATGCTGGGCCAGATATTGGTTTTGATGAGACTAAAATAGGTAAAAAAAATGTAGAAGGCAGGCTAGGTGGTGATGAGCCATATTATTCAAGTTCTGATGCTTGTAGCTTTGAAACTGATGAAGATGAATGTTGGAATGAAGATGGGGAAGACAAGAAGGTAAAGCTAACAAAAAGGATATCCAAATCTACAAAGAGTGTGAAGTTTGATAAAACATGTAAAAAGATTGTATGACAGTTGGGTATGATCTTTGAGAGTGTTGATGACTTTAGAGATGCAGTAACTAGGTATGCACTACAAAAAAGAGTTCTGATTGAAAAGCATGTAAATGAGCCAACTAGAGTCAGGGTGAGGTGCATCAAGGATAACTGCAATTGGCTTTTATTTGCAAGCATGGATAGTGTAAGTAATAATCTTATTTTAAGGACTTACAATCAAGTTCACAAGTGTGAGAGGGCCTCCAGAAATTATTTGTGCAATTTTAAATTCTTGTCCAAGGTCTTCAAAGTTTGAATAACTGAACAACCAAACATAAGAGTCTTCACCAACTGCTGCTAATGCACCTGATACTGCACCAACATCATTTGTTGGTGCTGAGTTTCCATCAACTTCTTCACTTGGTAGTTGGTTTACCTATTCTGTTCCTAGTTCTATAGCTCCTGATGCAGCATCTACTACTTCTGCTACTGCTAGAGACAGGGGAAGAGGAAGGGGAAGGGGAGGAAAGCCATAACACATCATTCACTTGAAAGTTGGTTTTCATGTTCAGCTCAAAATGCAACTGATACTGTATCCGCTGCACCTATTTCTTTTGCTACACCAAGTTCATCTACTGCTACTAGAGGAAGGGGAAGGGGTATTGGAAGCTCAACACCATATAAAAGGCCAAGACTGATAGGAATGGGTGTGTTTTAGGCTGAGAATAGCTTCACAGCTATTAATGTAAGTGAAGATGCAATCAATTATGTTATTATCTTAATGTACCTTAAACTAATTAAACTACTTTTGTATAGCTTGGGCTGCCAAGTAGCAGAATAGTGTCCACTGGATCATCAACAAAGATAACAAGATCAGCTGATGTTACTAGTGGTATTGGTTTCAAATCCACAAGTGGACTGAAGTGGAAAGGAAAACAAGTAATTACAACAAGAAGACTTCAAGAAATTAGAGACAAATCAAGGAATGTTGGTTCACAGCCCCAAGAACCATGGAAATTATATGTTGATAGGACCATATGGTGTTTTTTTGTTATGAAGCTGCTGGAATTTTTTTGTTATTAATGCATGGATCCTGGCATACTTGTTAAAAACTAATGTTTTGCTCCTAGAAATGGTACTCAAAGTATTATGTTGGAAATGTTTGTTTTGTTATTAGATTATTGGTATTAAAATGTACCATTGAAGTGATTTGTTGGAAATTATAGTAGTTTTCTTCATTTGCAATTGGTTTGGATGTTCTGAAGTCGTGGGTAGTGCTGCTAAGCAGCTAGTGTTGTTAACCAGCTGCTGCCAAGAGGCTTCTTATTTTTACCCCCCAAAATTTGCTTAAACAGCAACAACAATAGATTTGTCAATAGAAATTGATAGTATGATACCAAAATGATGTTTCATTCTAACAAAATACCAAAATTATATTTCATTATAATACCAAAATAAAGTACACAACCAAACCACATCAAACTTACCCTATCCGACATCAATACCAAAATGATCTTCTATTACGACAACAACCAAATGATCTTATATTACTACAACAACCAGCTATTATGGCAACTCCATTTGATTTTTCTTTAAGTTGCCAACTTAGATTAAGCTGCTAACAAATATAACAACTAAAAAAACCATAATATACCAAATGAATTTTCTATACAAGTTCCTTCTATTTTTTTCCTTCATACTCTTCTCTTTTAAATCAACATTCTGTTTTGAATCTTCAAGATCATCCAAATACAGCTTAAGACGGTCGTAATTTTCTTCTAACTCTTTGATTTTGTTTACCAATATTGGAAGAATAAACTTTGATCTTTCATCAACTGTTTCATTGTCTCTCCATTTGAAAAACTTGCAATTTGTGGCCTGAAATTTAAAGAATTCAATAACGACCCAATCAATAATAATTTTCAAGTTAATCAATAGGCTTAGAACATGAACACATACCTCATAGTGAGGACAAGACCAAAATCATCTTCCGGGATTCCGATCTGACCAATAAGTTTGCATTTGCAGCAAAATACCATGTTTGCATCGCACTTCGGCATTCAGCATTGGATCATCTTTGTACATGCACAATTTATTCAACTAGATATTTGTCATTCCTAACCCTAAGATTTCACAGACCGAAATTGGGGAAGAAATTAAAAAACCCTTAACAGAAAAAAGAGTCAAACGGAGGAATTTACATAAAAAATTCACTTACCTCTTCAAACCAAAGAAAATTGGAAGTCAAAACCCACCTTCAAAGGTCTTGAAAATGGCTGGTATAATGGGGAAGAAGAACGTTTTATGTTTAGAAGAAGGGGTCTTCCAAATCAGCTTTGAGAACGACAGGTGTCCATTTCTTATAGGCTAAAGCCTTTTTATTTAATTTACAACGCGCTTGAGGAAGGTGTATTCACGTTCCAGTCCAGCACAGCACAAAAGGTCCAAGATATTAAGGTAAAAAATAGTTTAGGGAGGTACTAGGATTCCCGTGAAGAAAAAGTGTGTAGTTGGAATTTTGGATATAGGATAGGGGTAATTATGTATTTTCCCTATAGTATTGTTATTTTTCTTTCTTTAAAACTACTTTTAGAAAAAAGTTAATATCTTTTTTGTTTTGGGTGATCCTAAGCTTCTTTATTTTTTTGAAAGACAGTAGAATTTATTTACTACAAAGTAGAGATAAAGTCATTACAAGCTGTAGTGGCATTTCCAGAGATGCTTATCATAGCATCAATATTACCTGGGGTTACTAGTTTGTTACAAACGACAAGAGATATATTACAAACTACTACATCACCATTTTTGTCCCCCAGCGTCCTAGACTCGACAAAAATGGGAGGTTTATGATAGCAAACTAGATTATTCATGATAGGCTGCCTTGATCCTTCTTTTGCCAAAATGTGAGCCATTGTGTTGCCTTCTCTACAACTATGCCTGAGGATTATTTGTCCCAGCTTGTTCATTAACCATCTGCAATAAAAAATAATATTATTGTAAGTTATGTATCCTTTGTCAAGATAGTGTATAACATCAGTGGAATCAGTTTCCACTTCTATTGGTGTTAGATTATTTGTTGCTGCGTAGCCCAATCCTTGGTGTAGGGCTAGGAGTTCAGCATGTATTGGGGAATCTGCATGGACTGATTTCATGAACCCTAGGATCCATTTAGAATTTGCATTCCTGATTAATCCTCCGATACCTGAGAATTCTGTAGTACTATGAAAAACACCATCAGTATTAAGTTTGTACCAACCTGTTGGGGGTGCATGCCATGAAATTTTAGTAGAAATAGTTCTAGTAATGTTGGTTACTTTTTCAGAATAGAACCTATATTCTATGGCATATTTCATTATTAAAGAGGGTGAGAGGGGTATGTTTGTATTATTAATGTTGTTACTATTTCTAGTAAGCCATAAGTTTCAAATTATGAAGGGAAAAAGATTTTCCTATTTTATGATGCTGGGAAGAGGATTTGAACAACTAATGGTCGGGGGTTCCAAGTTTTAACAGTGATAAGCCAGTGTTCATTGGTGGGGTGGTGACTATAGGAGTAGAGATTTTTAATAGGGAGTGCCAAAAGTTTTTTGCTGTGTCACAGTGTAGAAAAATATGTTCGATGCTCTCTTCTTCTTTACGATAGCAAGTACAATTTGGGTCTATATTTATGCCAATAGAATGTAAGTATTTCCTAGTAGGAATTCTTCCATGGTAACAGAGTCATAGGAAAAATTAAATTTTATTAGGACAGTTAAGGGACCATATCCAGTCAAAAATTTTCCCTGTTGGGGTATTAGAAGAATCATCGAGGAGGTTGTAACAAGATTTAGTGGAGAAGATTCCATTGGAAGTTTTATTCTAATAGATTTTATCATGGAGATTACTCCGAGGGATTATAATGGAATTAATCTTGTTAGCTATTGAGGAGGGTATGTCAAAGGAAATTTTATCAAGAGCCCAAGAGTTATTGTGGTAGAGAGCTTTTGGAGTAGGGAGGAGATCACTTTTATTCAAAGGTCCTATGAGGATTTGACGGAGAGGTTCCAAATGTCTATGTTGGAGTTGTGACCAATTGACCAGGCTGTTCCTTTTGAGCAAATTTTTCATCCTATTTTAAGACCTTTCCAGATGAAATAAGGATGTTTGGGAGTGTTATTGATGTATTTAGTAATAAGCAGATTCGCCCAAGGGGGTGTTGGGTAGTTTAAAAATCTCCGAGCAAGACTTGTAAGGAGTGTTTTATTCTTTGCACGGGCTTTCTTAATACCTAGCCCCCTTATTGATTTGTCACAAGTAACAATATTCCAATTTAAGAGATGTAACTTTTTCCTAGTATCAGTCATACCCCAAATGAAATTCCTAATGATTCTATCAATATGCACAATAATCTTACTTTGTAACATAGTGATTTGCATGACGTAATTTGGAACACTAGCTAGAGTAGATTTAGCAAAGGTCAATATTTAAGAAATTAGTTTTCCAGCTGTCTAGTTTAGTTCTTAAAGTATCTAAAATGTTATAGAAGTCCCTGTTTTTAGGATGGTGATTGTGAATAGGGAAGCCTAAGTATTTTTCAAAGGTCGTAGTGCTTTTGATGCCTAGGTAAGTTGAGACAAAAACAATATCATTTTTATAGCAGTTGGTTGAAAAGTAGACCCTGAATTTTGAGTAGTTAATTTTTTGCCTTGAAAGATTATAAAAATTGTTGAGACAGCTAAGGATAGTGGAACAATTTCTCCTAGTAACTTTACCCATTAGGGTTAAGTCATCGGCAAAAAAGTGGCGGGAGAGAGAAGGACCTTTGGGTGTTACTTTAATGGAGTCCCAAAGGTGGGTATCAACTAGATTGTTAATGCATCGTGAAAGCATTTTCATGTAGAGAATGAAGATATAGGGAGACATGGTATCCCCTTGGCGAATTTTCCTATTGGGGCAAAAATAATTATTTTTTTGTCCATTGACTAGAATAGATATTTGGCTAGTGGTGATGCAGGACATAATGACCTTGGTAATATTAGGAGAAATTTAAAGTGGTGAAGCATTTGATAAACAAAAGACCATTTGATTCTGTCAAATGCTTTTTCAAGGTCAATCTTAATAATCATGTTACCAATCTTACTCTTTTTTTATTAATAGAGTGAATGACTTCTTGGATAATAGTAGCATTATCACTTGCCCTTCGATTTTTCATAAAGCTTGCTTGGTAGGGGCTTATGATAGTTGCTAGGAAGGGTCTTATTTGATTGACAATTATTTTAGTAATGATTTTGTATATGGTATTACAGAGTCCTATAGGCTGGAAGTTCTTGAGGTTATTTGCATTAGAAAATTTTGGAATGAGACAGATATAAGTATTGTTTAAGGGGGGTGGAATAGTGCAATCTTTAAAAAGCTTATTGCAATAAGATATTACTGAGGGTCCAACAATATGCCAATATTTTTGAAAGAAAAACGGATGTAGATCATCTGGTTTAGGGGCTTTGAAATATTTGAAAGAATATAGGGCATTTGTGATTTCTGTATTTAATAAAGATTTATCTAATGAGGAGAGGTTAAGGTTGGAGAAACTCGTAGGGTTAGTCTTAATGAATTTTCAATTTGTGGAATTCATAGTGGTAGTGAACAGATTTTGAAAAAAATTAGTAGTATGACTCATGATAGCTTCTTCATTATCAAAACAATTACCATGATCATCTTTAAAGAAGACTGTTTGGTTATTTTATTTTCCGTTAGAGGCACTTATATGGAAAAATTTAGTGTTGGCATCATTGTCGTTTATCCAAGCAATCATGGATCTAATTTTTCATTAATCCTCCTCTATATTTAAAATGCCATTATAGTCCTTTTTAGATTTCCTTCTAATTTTTGGAGGAATGTACTAGTGTGATAATGGCTTGAGACTTGGATACCACTTAGTCTAGCTAGGATAGTCCTTTTGTTTTTGAGAATGTCTCCAAAGATAGTATTCTTCCATTCTAATATATTTTTTTGAAAATTCCGGGAGGCGGTAATTAACTTATTAGACCAACTAGAGTTGATAAAATTAACAAAATCGGGATGATTGCACCAAAAAGAATCTAGACGAAATGGTTTAAGACCAATATTTATATTGATATTGGAAAGAGTAAGGAGAAGGGGATTATGGTCCGAATAGGTTTTGGGAAGGTGGGTAACAAAAGCAGTAGGGAAAAAATTTAACCAATTATCATTAACAAAAATACGATCAAGGCGTTCCATGATCAAACCTTTAGACCTTTTTCTATGATTTAACCATGTGAACTTGCAACCCTTGTATCCAAGATCTATAAGTTGCAATGGCTAATATATTTTCATAGTAGTGATGATCTTATAGGGTTTATTGGTCTGCCACCTAACTTATCACTATCCATAAGCACACCGTTAAAGTCTCCACCAATCAACCATGGACCTTTATAAACAGTAGAGATATCTTTAAGGTTATTCCATAGACTATTTCTATTAATAGCAGAAGTACTAGCATAAATAGAGCTAAAGAGCCAAGTTTTTTTTAGTGGTAATTACCTCAATCATTGCATGGATAGCTTGATCTCTTCTAGTGAAGCTATGTACGTTGACAATGTTTATATTCCAAAGGATTACCATTCCTCCTGCTTGCCCCTCCGCAGGAACTTCGATCATATTGGTGAAGTCATGATCATTTAGGAGAAGAGTAAGCGAGGTCATTCTAGTTTCTAGCAGGGTCACCACACAAGGTCTGTGGGTGTCCATTAAATCCCTAAAGTGCATACGAAAGGTATTATTGTTGGCTCCTCTCACATTCCACAGGATAATACGAGCATGTTTATTCATTTGTGGCATTGGATGGTTAATCACATTCCTCCCCTCATCCGGTGATAGAGGTGGGGTTCTCCTCAGGCATGGAACTAGGATTATAGCATGCTTTCCCACAGTGGGGTCCTGGGGGGACGTATGTCCATGGAGAACTTGTACAGTGCCATTGGACAACTGAAGATGTACTTCTTGTCCTGCATTTCCCTGAATAGTAGCACTTTTACTTCTCCTAGACTTGCAAATTCTATTGTTAGCTCGTGGTGGTGGAGGTCTAATTCCTCCTCCTCGACTCCCTGATTTGGCACTAGGAGGGGGTCGTTGGGAGGGATATTTTCTTGCATGGGGATTGGGTCATCCTCTTGAGGTGGTGACTAATTGTGGTGGGGCTGAATTTCCATGGCATGAATATTGGGTTGAGTGTGGTTTGCTCCTCTAGTGGAAAGAATGGGAGGTTGGGGAGTG